TCTCCAGAGAAAGAGGTGATGTCAAACTATTATTGGACCCAAAACAAGTTCCACTCCCTGGCTCTTGGTCCTCAGGAAGCCTTTGTGGAGTCAGGCAAAGAAGCAGCATCTGTTTTTTACAGGCCCGTTTGAACAATTCTACCTCTCCTCCAACATTAATGGCTCTCGGCCATTTTTCTTCAGTTTGACCACCCAGGATGTTTCGGCCTTGACCACAAGCTCCTTACCCCAGAGTAGCTGAAGTGAGCCTGAAGCTGTGATACACCAATCATAACCCAGAACACATAAGGCTCAAAGAATTCTGGAGTCTGGATTCACTTGGGAAAAGAGAATCCAGGTGTCTCAATGCAGATATTAGCATACAGAAACGGTGGTTCTGGTAACCATACCGGACTGTCTAAAACACACCAGCCATCACCAGAAAGCTTAAATGATCCTGTATGAGCTGGGAAGTTGTCATGTGACACCAAGAGTGACAAGAAAGATTCCAGAACCCATGGCTCTGAGCAGATGAAGAGGCCCTAGTAGGATTATGAAAGTGGAAATGGATCGTGGTTTCTGTTTCTCTGAGAATCCTGTTCTTACAAATAGGGACTCAAAAGGAGAGGCAAGAGCCCCTGTTGCTATGAAACGCTGCATCCAGGAATAAAAATGGTTCTGTGCGTTGGACAATTCTAGCTCATTTGAGTCATTCAGAAAGAGATACTCCTAGAATTTAGAGGAAGGTAGAGGATACAGACTTTAAAGTAGTCATTGACCAGGTTAGGAGGTAGTTTCCTTCTAGGAAACTGAGTGATTGATATGTCCCAGTGGTTCAGAGTCCAAACCAGTCAGATAACAATGCAAATGACAAATAATACACAGGCCTGAAGTTCAAATTCACAGTGAGCTATGAAGCATAAGTGTGGAGTGTTTCATGGCCCATTGAAGTCTATTTTGGTGATTTTTTTATCATCTCAAGCTCAAAGGAGTCAACACTGAAGGAAGACCTGGCCTTACACACAGCCTGAGTGAAGACACAGGCTGAAAACATGAAAAGAAATAGTAGAGGAAGGAAGGAGAGGTGACTTTAAGTATGACAACCCAACCGAGACACCATAAAATAAGAAGTTTTGTGAGTAAAACTACATGATGAGAACTCACCTTTTTTCTCCTGCCATAAATTCGTGGAAAATAGGGGAGAAATTTTCTCTGCAAGATAGAAAGATCCGAGCATGTAGTTATCTATATTTCAGAGGTGTGAATTGGGAGTTGAACCTCCTTCCAGAAGTTCTGCCTGGATCCATTCAGACCCACATTATCTGACTCCATTCCCCTCTCATTGCATACAACTTAGAGACAAATGCTGGCCTGTGGCAGCTGGAAAGACCTCACATCTCTCTTCCTCAGTTCCTGAGATATTTCCTTTACAATCCTTGTTCAACCATTACACAATCTCTGTTCCCACTAGACACAATTCAGCTTGTTCCACACCAGGACTAGGCAGCCAACACATATGTGTTTCATGCATATAGGGTGTCCCATGTTCTGATGAGTTTGGAGCACATAAAAGAAATTTGGTTATGAGAGATAAAAGAGAAAGTTTGTGGAAGATACACATTCTCTCTCTCTCTCTCTCTCTCTCTCTCTCTCTCTCTCTCTCTCTCTCTCTCCTTTTTGAGACAGGGTTTCTCTGACGAGGTCTGGCAACCTACTCACACTGTAGACAAGACTGTCTTTGAACTCAGAGATCCAGCTGCCTCTGCCTCAGGAGTGCTTGGATTAAAAGAGTATGCCACAACCACCAGCACAGAGAATCAATCTCACAGTTTAAGAAGGGTCTCTGGGAGGTGAGGGCCCAGTCAAGAAGGGATGAGATATTTAATTAAGCTAAGAATTCTAGGATAAAAACTAGCTTGTAGGATAGGGAGATGTTGAAATCATGTCTATGATAGTCTATTACTAATAACATTATAGATGTGTCCTGCTTAGTTTGGTTGTCAACTTGACATACCTAAAAAGAGAAAACAGCATTTGAAGAATTGTCTGTCTCAGATAACCTATAGGCATGTCTGTGGGGGCATTTTATTGACTGCGGATTAATATAGCAAATCCACTGTGGGTGGTGCCATCCCTATTAACATGGGACTATGATGAATAAGAAAAGCAGTTGAATATGAGCCAAGGAGCAAGCCAGTAAGTACTGTTTTTCTGTAGTTCTTCTTCAGTTCCTGCTTCCATACTTCTGCCTTGTGTTCCTGCCTTGCCTTCCCTCTATGACGGACTTCTGCCTATAAGCCAAATAAACTCTTTTCTTCACTAAGTTGCTTTAGGTCATCGAGTTTATCAGAGTAACACAGCATGCAAAGTAGAACCAGAATCTGGGGTTAGCAGAGAGCTGACGTCTGCTTTAGCTTACATGAAGACCTGAGTTCAACCCCTTCACATCAAATAATGCTGACAATCACGATGATCATATTAAATCTGCCATTTTTAACCTCAAGGATATCACTGATTCCTTGTATACATTTCAAATTTGAGATAATTTGGATGGCACTAAGTTCCTGCACGAACATCCTGAATTGATGGTTTATATCACATAACTCATCCCCCTGCATCCACACAACTGCCTTTGGTGCAGCTGCTAGCAGGTCCTTTCTCTAGATTCTCTTTCACTTGTCTGACAGTCAACTCTTCCTTTGGCTTCAATGCCGAAATTTCTCTGCAAGAACCCCAACCCAGAATGGCCATTTCCTCCTCAGAGATTCTGTATCTATCATTTGTCAACACCAGCAAGGTGCATCCCCCAGAAATGAGGCTACAGATGTAGGCCGCCTCTCTTCTGAATGATAGGAAAACCTGATCTGCATGAAGGATTTCCCATATCTCATAGCTATTTGATCTGTAAACAGTGCAAGAAGAGGCACTGACCCCCCCCTCTCCCTTCCACTGCAATACCTGGATCAGGAATTTCAGGGGCCAATTGTAGCAGCGCACACTCAATTTCCAATTCTTTGATCGTCCATGGCCTCCCAAGATTTCAAACTCACTAGGTGTGTACCAGTCTCCAGCTTCACTCTGTATGGACTTTATGGAGATCCCTGTAAAACCACAGTAGACTGATCATGAGCCTGCTTTGTCCCTGGAGCTCAGTTCATAGCCTCCCACCAACACTGGAACTGGAGCCACCCAAACTGTGCTCAAAGTCAGTCGCCGAAGAGTCAGGCCTTCTCTCTGGCTTCAGGAGTCCCAGCTCAGCCCCGGAGTTCCCTAAAGGGCTTTGTTGAAGCCTTCCATGTTTCTTTGATTTTCATGCCTGAAGAAAATGACAGCCGCCACCAACAGATACCTTTTAAAAACTACTTCAGGCTCACGTAGAAAAGGACAAGGTAGTGACTGACTGCACGGGGTGCGTGGATTTCACCCTGGTGTTGATCTCTTAGGCTGGAGAACAACCCATCCCAGGAGGCCCCCGGAAGGTAGAGGTGGGGTCCTCATCTTAGAGCTGAGGCTGCAGTGGATTTTGCAACCCAGGAGCTCCGTGACATCATTGTCTATCCAAATTAATAAGACTATTGAACAGGTGCCCATCACTGCGGTTGGAGGTAAAAACTAGTAAACATAAATAAATATTATCCCATGAAAATACGGACTACCGTTAATAAAAAGATAGTCCTATTTGGGGCATCTTCATTGTTATGAAAATGCAAGCAAAATCACAACACCGTTTCACATACCACCAAGATGACCGTAATAAAAAACAAGAAATAGTAGCTATTTGTTGTAGGGAAGTTGAAGTTCTCACACACTGCTGTAACTGAAAACAGTGTAACTATTACCAAAATATTTGGTAATTCATTACTGAGTTCAATATATAATCATCAAATGACCTATCAATTCCACTTCTGTGTGTATGCCTCAAATTCAGTGTTTATATCACATAAATGGTATACACAAATTATCAAAACAGCATTCTGAAGCAAACTGAAGAATAAATGAGGAAAATATGAAATAGTCATACAATGGAATATGGCATTATTTGTGAGTTAAAACATTTTGCATAAACTACACAGACGAGGCTTGATGTCATCATGCTAAGTGAAAGCAGGCAGTCACAGGTGACATACACTGCAGCATGTCACTTGTATGTAGTGTGTAAGGAGGCAAATTTACAGGACAGGAATTAGCAGGGTGAATGTTCAGAAGAATGAAATGGGAATGAGTATCAACTCCTAATAGCCAGAGGGGGACAAATATGTTCGCATAGTAATATTTTCTATGTACCAAAGAAGAAACCCCCATTGCTCGTGGACTCTAAGTGCTGAATTATATGGTACATGAATTATAACTCAGTACAGCTGTTAAAAATAGTGGCAGTGTATTTCTGTCAACTGCCATCCACAGGCTCATAATAAAAGAGATCTGAGGTGAAGTCCATCATAGTAGGTTTTGGCTGAGGGGGGGATTTTTGTGGATTTTGTTTTTGGTTTTTTTTTTTTTTTTTTGCAAACCAGAATATGTTTTACCAATAATATAAGTTATTCCTCATGGATATACCATGGATCAGGCTTTATATTATTGTCCTCTATTTAACAATGAGAAATTTCATGCCCAGAAAGTCCCGCCCGTACAGCAAAAAGAGACCTCTTCTCTTGGCAAAGCTGAGTCTGGAACTTGGGTTCTCTGATTCTCAATCCTGTGATGCTATTACCATGACAAGTGCCCTGGCCTGGTGCTGCTGACACAGGGATGTGAAGGCAGAGGCTGAGGGTCCCTCCCCATTTATGTCTGACTGGAAGGAAAATATGCAATAGTTTCCATCTCTGGAGGGAAGTTTCTCTGGTTCTCTGGGCATCTCATGGCTCCATCCATGTTACTGTGAGCATCTACTAGGCATGGTTTCTTCAAGCGTTAGGATCCCTCCTGTTTTCAAGGCACCTCCCCCAGTTCCTTAAGTAATTCCCTTATTGCTTGTGATGTTTTTTATTTAGCAGTTGTAAATTAAAAACCTTGATACCTACCTTGCTTGAATCTGTCCTTGTGTAATGTTCCCTTCACGTCACCACATGTCACAGGAAGCAGCTCAGCACTGAAATCTGCATTTTCATTTCTGCACCTTCTTGGAACTGAAAAAGATTTCTTCTTTTGTCTCACTTTGTAGGTGTGTATGCTCCCTCCTCTCTCCCATTCCTTTAACACTAGGAACACTTTGATCCTCAGATCTTTAACTTATAAGTCTTTCTTGCAAATGGCATATTGGCTATGTAATGACAAATATTTTACCCCTAATTTATTTTTTTAAAAAAATAGCTTTAGCAGAATTTTTTGGCTTTGATAAACTGTGCCGATTCTCACTCCAGTGACCACACTGATTGCTACATGGCAATGAATCAGGTGCTGTCTGACTTTTCTATTGTACTAATGATGGTAGACAGAGATAGTCCTCTTATCCCCCCCCCATTTCAGCTCTGACTGGGCTAGCAGGGAGAGATGATGGGCAACCTAGCAGAGTTGGGTGGAATTATTCCTCTTTCTGTCTGCTCTGCTCCATCTCTCCTTCACAAAAGCATTTTCTGTCTGTAACTGAGAGAGAACCCCAGAAATTTCTAGAATAATCTGAAAGCTCTTATGTAGAGCAGAGCTGCAACTCCATAGACATAGAGATGAAAATTCCTCAAACAAATTTTTGGGAGATGAGAAGCTACGTTTGCCTTGCCTGTCGTCAGTGCAGAAACCGCGATGTGGGAGGGGTGCACTGTCTGTGATGCTGATACTATTTGAGCAGTAGCTGATCAAGACTACAATGGATATCGAATGGTTGACATAAATTACCCTCCTCTTTACAAATGGAGAAACTGAGGAAATAAGAGCCCAGGGATAGGCTGAAGGCCATGTAGTCATAGAAGAGAAGGCTTGGACCCAGGTCTCTCCCACCACTCTGGGCCACCTTGATATGCATTCACTGGTGGGTGATACCCCGCGTATGGCAGAGATTGTCTCCACTCTTCCGGGTGAATGGAGGCAGCATTACAGTGGCCCAGACCTCTAGGTCTTGTTTCAGCTGCATCATCAAGATTCTAGTTTCTCAGAGACAGTGAATAAACAGGCAATGTCTCCGTGGTTAATTCAGCTCACAAAGCTGTCATGGAAACTAATGCTCTTGCTTCCTCTCTGTAGAGCACCAGCAGCAGAAGGGCTTCCACTCAGGAACAACTTTCAAAGGGAGTCTCCTCCTCCCTCTTACCCAGGATGTCACCAGGACTCTGGAAGGGTAAAGTATGCCCGAGAATACCTCCTTCCTCCCTCTCCTTCTGACAGCCCACACCCATAGCCCACTGGGAAGACTTATCCCTGCAGCCGTTCATCCTCCATTCCAGCTCTAGGGACTGGGAAGTTACAGGGACTGCTCAAGGTAAGAAAGAACTCACCGAAAGGGAGGAGGAAAGGGACTATGAGAGAGTACATTTGCTTTCTACTTATAATTCACCAAGTCTAGACATTTTAATAGCCAATGTGTAAAGGAAAAGCATTTTCATAAAAATCAAGTTCAACTCAAAGGTAAGGAAGAAATTAGGACACACAAGATTGATGATATAAATACAGTTCACATTCTTGCTCCAAACACCTTTGCTTTTAGATTTTGCTGCTCTCAAATTGATAGATAGGTCTGAGGAGTTAAGGCTTTAGAAACCTTAAAACCTTAACAAAATCTGTGTGTATTCGGGGCGAAGGGAAAGACCCACAAAGGCCATCTTACCCCTGGTCTTGGCGGAACGGCCTGGATTCTTTTCTGTTTTCTTTCTCCTGACAGCCGCCTGGCGACCAACTCTGCTGACATCTAGGAAAGACACAGGCAAATGCAGATTGAGCCAAACAACAACTGATAATGGGAAGGAGCAAGGGAACCTCTCTGTTATGTCAGAGTACCTTCTGCACACACTGCCGATGAGAGCTCCCGACAAGGAGCTGTGTCCAAGCAGGTAGAAGTCTAAGTTAAAGCCTGTGAAGGATTCTGTTGTATTAACACTTTAGAAAGGGCTGTCTACACAGAGACTTGAATGAAAATGTGGTTTTTTTCAAAATATGTGTTCGAAAAATAAACACAACCATCATTTCTCCTTTCTAAGCAAAAAAATATACATATCAATCAATAGTACAGTTGGGTTATTGTCAAGAGTGTAAGATTCTTAGTTTGGTGAAATTAATATTGAGTGGGATTCCAAAGCCTGCTTCATGGATCTGATGCAAAATTGATAATAATTTAGAAAAAGGCATTTAGCTTTTGTCTAGGAAGACGAAATCCCTTAGACTGTTACTAAAATCAGATGGTAGGGTGCTGTTTGTAAATATATACAAGTTATAGGAATTAGATTGTATGAAACATCACCATGTAGATACTTCTGTGGTTAACTTGTTCAAAAACCTTCTAAGATTGGATGCTCATGCCCTCTCTCTCTCTCTCTCTCTCTCTCTCTCTCTCTCTCTCTCTCGCCTCTAATGACAAAGGTTGATCATATTCAATATTTTAAACAAATAAAAACATGGACATCACTTCTATTCTAACAGCCAAATACAAACAATGTATGCATTTTTGCATATAAATGTTTACATGTTGTGTTCTTTTGTGTGTACACATGTGGGTGTGCCTGAATGTGTGTGGAGACCAGATACCAAAGTTGAGCGTCTTTGTCAGTGGCTCTCCATCTTAAACTGTTGACAAGGTCCGACACCAAAACCAGAACTCACCAATTTGGCTGCCCGAGTTTGCTGTTCAGCAAACCTGATGGATTCACCAATGAAGGATTCCAGATGTATAATCATGCCCAGCTTTTTATGTGGGTGCTAGGGATCCAAATTCAGGGCCTCAGACTTGTGTAGCAAGCACTTTACCACTGAGCATCTCACCAACCCGTCAATGAACATTTGTGAAAATGAACTATCAACTATTTTTCTGTCTCTTAGTACATCTCCCTCTCTCTCTCTCTAGACAGATACATAGTTACATTAAAATGCCTGAATTTATAAACAAAATGAATGGTTTCATGCTGTGGCATATTATTTTAAAATGTATTACATTAGTTTATGCTGTGGAACATTTGTTTAATGATGCAAAGATGTGCTGCATTCTTTTATGTTGCATTTGTTTAACTCTGTGAAGCTGTGTTGCTTTGCTTGTCTAAAACATCTGATTGGTCTAATAAAGAGCTGAACAGCCCATAGCAAGGCAGGAGGATGGACAGGTGGAGCACATACACACATTTACACATATACACCTGCAACCTGTTTGCTTCATCAACCTTCTTTGGAACATTTTTTCAAACCAAAGAAAATTTCATACTGAGGATGACAACACCTCCCTTTCAACTCTGAACCACTTACTTCTGGATGACCGCATGTATGAGAAACTAACCATTTGTAAAAGACATTATAATATCACAACTCTTTGTTACAACCTCTTAACCATGTCTGAGAGAACCTATATAAACCTTTTGTGGGAGGGTGGAGGTTACTCAGGGACTAAGAGCAACCAGTGAGCAAACATAAGGACCTGAGTTCAGATACCAGCATCAACATAAAAAATATGTATGTGTGCACCTATAATGCTAATGTTAAGGGACTAGAGACAAGAAGCTCACTGGGGTTTACTGCCTGACAATCACTAAGGGAATAAGAGAGAGAGAGAGAGAGAGAGAGAGAGAGAGAGAGAGACATTCAACATCCTCCTCAGGCCTATACTTGTGGGTGCAAGTATGTGTGCCCATATGCACAAGTGTGAATACAACACACACACACACACTATTAAGGCTCAGAAATTCACAGGCCTCCAAGCATGCAACAAGCAACACCTTAAAAACTCAACAGCTGTAACTCTGTCCAGCTGCTTGCTTACTATTTGGCAGTACAGCTTGTGGCCTTCTCCGTTTTATTCTTGACCAGTTGTGACCTTTCTTCTTTCCTACAAAACAAAAATAATAAAATTAATTATTCAGGGATATAGATGTAATTCTCTTAGCCTTATATGTCAGCCATATTCAGATACTGTTTTCAAACTTCAGATCCTAGAAATGAGGAAAAATTCTAACAACAGTTTAGTCACGTGAGGGTTTGTTGGGGTCTAGCCTCAACGAAATTCACACATTCCAAGGTAGAAGCACAAGGATTAGAATTATTGAGCAATGGGAACAGAGATATGAAAGAAATAAAAGGCAGAAACACAGAACAGCATCAGGAGGAAAACTCAGTGTGTGCTTAATTTATTTATTTTCTGCATGCTTATACACTTCACTCCAAAAGCAGAGGGAGAAGGCAACAGACTTCATTAACATGACATAAGGAATGAACAAGTATCCAGCAGCTTTGATTGGTGAGTTTTTTCTCTTTTTGTCAGCTTAACTGTTTCTCTGAACCCAAGGACTTGACAGTTGATCTCCCAGCAACCCTATGGTATTCCTAGAAACGGTGTGGGGCGGGGGGAGGGGGGTGCCCCCAACCATGGCCTTCAAGACTACAGTTGAGCCCTTCGCTGGCATTCATCTCTGGTTATTCCCCATGGCTAAGGACTGAGATTTGACTCCTCACCACTCTGACTTTTGTCCTCATCTCTCAGACTGTTGTCCTCTCTCAGGCCACTTGGAGTGGTCCTATCCTGATGCGGGAGTGTCATATATCAATCTGTTGATTTCATTGGTTAAGCAATAAAGAAACTGCTTGGCCCTGATAGGTTAAAACATAGGTGGGAGGAGTAAACAGAACAGAATGCTGGGAGGAAGAGGAAGTGAGCTCAGACTCTGCTCTGCTCCCGGAGAGACTCGACAGCTCTGCTCTCTGGAGCAGAGACTCCAGGCTCCGCTCTCCCAGGCAGCTTCGACCCAGGATGGATGTAGGCTAGAATCTTCCCGGTAAGCACACCTTGGGGTGCTTACACACATTATTAGAAATGGGCTAGTCCAGGTGCGAGAGTTAGCCGGGAAGAGGCTAGATATAAATGGGCCAAGCAGTCTTTAAATGAATAGTTTGTGTGTTGTTATTTTGGGCATAAGCTAGCAGGCAGCCAGGGTGCTGGGGACGCAGCCCCACTGCTCTTATTTCAACACTATCCAGTCCTCAATTTCTGATTGACTTTGACCTAGCCGTCAGCCCTCGCTTTATCCCAAAGTTGTACATGGTTAATTGCCATTGGGTCCTTGCCTTTATCACATTCTTAGCCATAAGAAACAAACCCTCAAAAACTATCAGTCCTTTATGGGGATGTCTTTTATAGACCCTAAAACCTCAAAACTTAATGCCTTACTTACAGATTCCCAAGCTTATCCGCCTTTATACTAAGAAATGTCCTAAGTACACCTAAGATAATAACCTAAAGAGGTCACCTAACGGCACCTTAGATCCCGATATTCTGAGGGTGCTTTCTAACTTTTGTCAGTGCACAGGCAGATGGAAAGAGTTATCTTATATCCAAGTCTTTTTCTATCTAAGTTATAAGCTCTCTGTTCTTGCAAGATGTTCACCTGCTCACATGTTCCTGACTATGCCAACTAAGCCAATAGGAACATCTGCTTCTTCTCTGGACCCTGTTAATGAAACCCTACTTTTCAAACCTCAGCCGACAGCTACTTCTACCTCTCCAGTTTTCTCTCTCTCTCCCCCACCAACTGCTCCATTAGCCCCTCTGGATCCTTCCTCCTTTCTAGTGCCATGCTGCGGCAGCCGCCTGACTCCCTTTTACCCCTCTTTCATGCACACGCATGCTGCTAAGGAACCTGACCCTGACCAAACCAAGTCAGCAGCAGTTGTGAGAGATAGCCAGTGTGGATAAAATGGTCAAGGTACACTTTTGTTTCTCATGCTCAGAACTCTCTCACACAGAACAAAAAACTGTGTCCTTACACATCTAATTCTACCTCTTTCATAAAACAACTCCAATACATTACCCAATCTTATAGTCTCACCTTTCATGATATTTTTATCATCCTAACTGATAACCTACTTCCTGAGGAGCACAGGCAAGTTTGGGAGCCAGAGTACATGCAGATGAGGCTCATCCGACTAATGCAGCCCTTCACCCTGGGGCAGAGGCAGTCCCTGAGTGGGATCCACACTGGGATTATAACACCCCAGGTGCTATTTTAGCTAGAGACAAGTTTACAACTTGCCTCCTGGTGCATATCCTTAAGGCTGCCCTCAAGCCAGTAAACTCTGATAAACTCTTAGCTGTTGTTCAGGATACAAATGAAAATCCATCTGCATTCTTAGAACACGTCACAAAGGTTCTCTTGTGATACACTAATTTAGAGCCAGAGATCTAAATTTTGACCTCTGGGGAGGGCAAACAGCTCCTCATGACCCATTTCCTTTCCCAGAGCTTCCTCAACATTAGGTCTACACTTAAGTATTTGGAGAAAGGCCCCTTGACCACACAGGCAGAAGTCTTAGGGCTGGCTTTTAAGGTGTACCATGGAAGGCATGATAAGAACCATAGACAGAAATGTCAAATGCTGGCCAAGGCCATTCGACCGGCTTAGGCAACTGACAACCCTGTTTGTGTCACTCCCTTGTGCCCTGGGGCCCATGTTTCAAATGTGGTAAAACTGAATATTGGGCCTGGGAATGCTCTAATCCTCATATTGGTCCAACAATACCAGGTTGAAAGTGCCACAGGGAAGGGCATTGGGTGATCATATCCTCGTGCACATTGTGGCATGGAGACATCAGACTCAGACAACTCCCAAACCAACCTTCTAGGTCTGGCCATGGACGATTGAGGTTGCCCAGGCTCCTTTGACCTGACCACAACTGTCATCTGTAATAGGGAGCCATGGGTAAATATCATAGTATCTCCCTTCTCTTGGACACCATTGCCATATACTTGGTACAGAGAGAGTTTGGGGGACCTACATCTCCTTCTAGTTTCCCTATTGTTGAGGTAGGGGAGCAGCATTACCTACCTCATCAGACCCCACCACACAATTGTATTTTCAGGGGTATTCCTCTCACTCATTCATTTTTAGTCATGCCAACCTGCCCTGTACCTCTTATGGGAGGAGATTTTTCAGCTGAAGTGGGAGCTTCTATTTTGTTTGCTCCTTCCGGTCACCTCACCCCAGGCCCTCCAACAGCTCCTCTCTGCCTCCTCCTAGCCTCCCAGCCTCCCAGCTTCAGTGTGTCTTTTCCTCTCTGGTGGATCCCCAAGCCTAAGACAACCAAAACCCCTCTGTTACTAGACACCATTCCCCTATTGTCACCCAATTACAGGATCCTACCAGGTACTTTACCCAAGCTCGGTACCCACTCCTACTCCAGAGTCTTAGGAGACTTAAACCTATCATCTTTGACCTTCTAAGAAATAAGCTACTTCACCCCACCTCATGTCCTTTTAACACTCCTATTCATGCAATTAAAAAGCCTAACAGAGCCTATAGCCTGGTTCAAGACCTCCAGCTCATTAAGTCTGCAGTGGTCCCACTTTATCCTGTAGTACCTAATCCTTACACACTTCTTTCCACTATTCCTCCAGGAACCTCCCACTTCTCAGTTCTGGATCTCAAGGATGTCTTTTTCTCTATTCCTCTCAGCTCTCAATCTCAAGATATCTTTGCCTTCATCTGGACTGACCCTAACACTCACCTCTCCACACAGCTTACCTGGACTGTCCTTCCCCAGGGATTCCAAGACAGCCCATACCTGTCAGGCTTTAGCTTCTGATCTACTCTCACTGTCCCTCCCTAAGTCTAAACTCATACTGTATGTAGATGATAATTTACTTTGCAGTCCATCCCTAGAGATCAGCAAAACTGATACCTCTGCTCTTTTAAATTTCCTGTCCAAAAGGGGCTATAGAATCTCACCTTCCAAGGTCCAACTGTCTACCTCTCAGGTCATTTACTTGGCATTAACTATTATTACCCCAACCCAAGAAGCTATTACCTTAGACAGGAAAAAATTAATCCAGTCTCTTGCAGTACCTTCTACAAAAGAGGAGATTTTATTGTTCCTAGGAACAGCTGGCTTCTTGTATTCCTGGATCCCTCGTTTTCTCTCCTTGCCCACCCCTTATACAAGGTTGCTCTTGGTTCTATGCATGAGCTCCTCCCCCATCCCATTACTAAGCCCTTCCAGAAGTTTCAACAGGCCCTTATCCAGGCTCCAACTCTCCATCTCTCAGACCTAACTCGTTCTTTCTCCCTCTATGTAACAGAAAAGGAGGGATATGCCTATGGGGTTCCTAGGGCATCAGTCGGGACCTTCCTTTGCACCTGTAGCATATCTGTCAAAGAAGCTGGACCTTACCACTGGGGACTGGACACCCTGCATATGTGCTTTAGTAGCAACTGATCTCCTTATTTGTGAGTCAAAAAAAAAAAAAAACTAACCTTTGGGTCACCCATCACTGTCTTCTCCCACCATAACCTGTCCCATTCCTTAACTTACAAAGACTTACAAACTTTACCTCCTTCCCGAGTTCTTTCCCTCCAGGTGGTACTAGTGGAAGATGACACACTTGCTTTCCAATGCTTCCCACCCCTTAATATCTCAAATCTCCTACCTCAACCTAATATTCCCCATCTCACTCCTGCATAGAAACCTTAGAGGAACTACTGCCCCACCCCTCACATATACAGGAAGGCACATTGGCCCAGACCACTTATACCTGGTACACAGATGGCAGCTCCTTTTTATACAAGAGGACCTGTAGAGTAGGCTATGCTCTACAGTATCATATACTGGGGTGGTGGAGGCACAGGCACTCCCTGCCCATACCACTAACCAGCAGACTGAATTAATAACCCTCACCAGTGCCTTCCAGTTGGCATAGGGACAATCATTAAAGGTTACAGACTCAAAATATGCCTCTCATATTCTCTTGTCCCACACAGCTATCTGGAAGGAGCATTGGGCTTCTTACAATGAAAGGAGGATCCATAACTAACTCAGGCCACATTATGGACATGTTAAAGGCCTCCCATCTCTCCAAAGCTATAGGAATTATTCACTGTCTGTCTCATCAGACCAACAGCTCCATTATTTCTAAGGGAAATAACCAAGCTGACCAAGCAGCCAGGGTATCAGCACTCCGGGGCCCAAACTTACTTCAATCACTTCTGGGGGTTCATACAGTACAACCCACATTCTCATAGACACCCCCTGACACTCAACAAATTCTGTCCTACCTACATCAGTCAGGCTCTGTCTCACCTTGTCAAGGCTCACCTCCAAACCACCCCTGAGAACTTAAGAGTTCTTAGAAAATATCACTGCATCTTGTAAAATCTGTCAAAAGTCAGATCCCAAGTCCAAATCCCATAGCTTCCCTTTTCCCACCGACCAGGCCAGCAGCTCCCTTCCAGGAACTGACTGGCAGCTTGATTTTATTCATATGGTCACAGTCAGAGGGGTTAAATATCTTTTGGTTTTGGTAGATACAATGTCTGGATGGATTGAAGTGTTTCCCACCACTAACAAGTGGACCCAGACAATTTCTGATGTCCTTCCCTGGGAAATTATCCCCTGGTTTGGAATTCTAACCTCTCTTCAGTCAGACAATGGCCCAGATCCCTCAAACTTTGTCTAAGGCTCTTAACATTCCCTGACATTTTCATATCCCATCCCATACCTCAAGGAAGGTAGAATGAACTAACAGTTTCTTTAAAAATACTCTTGTTAAGATGTCACAGGAATGTCACCTTGACTGGGTAAAGCTTTTGCCTCTGGCTCTCTCCGGGCTCTGGGCCCTCCCCAAAAGACCCCTTTCCATCTCATCCTTTGAACTCATGTATGGGTGGCTGGTTTTGACTCTGACCTCTCACCTAAACCCTCACACCATCCCTGATTACCTGCTTACCCTATTGTTCCCCCTTATGGGATTTTACTGACTACTCAAAACTTCAACCATGCACCAAGCCCTGCCCGCCTCCAATTAAAATTGGGGACCAGCTCCTTTTCTCTCACCTAGATCAAAGCCTCTCATGCCTTTCTCCTAAATGGCAGGGCCTCTTTAAAGTAATTCTCGTGACTTCCACAGCTGCCAAGCTCAAGGACCTCCTCCTTCAATGGATTCACCAGTCTCACCTCAAACCTTTTATTCTTCTAGCTCAAGACACCCTCTCCTCCTATATGGTAACTCAAACAGGGCCCTGTTCCCTTAAGTTCCGGAGGATGCCAAGACCAATTGCTTTGTCTCCAGTTCCAGAAGAATAAAGTCTCCCCACCGTACTTAACTCTCCTGTACCAGGAACCCTATGTGTTCTCCTTTCTGATTACCCCTTTATTCTTCTTTCTCCTGTCTGCTTTACCAGTTTCTCTGTATCTCCAATGTCATACTTAAATTTGCAGTTAACTATTCAGCTGTTGTTACAGGGACTATCATTAAATAGTTGGAAGTGCAAAGACTGTCAGATGCCCAAATGGTAAGAAACAATAACAGTCTGGGGACATTTGCACCCCAAATTCCAAGGGAGACTCACAAAATATTTTTTGACATAATAGGTTTATCACTGACTACAGCAGTGTTTCCTGGACATTAAGGTATTACCATGATGGTAAAAGAAACAAGTGCCTTAAGATTTGCTTCAGGCAAAATATTAAAAGGTCTAATAATTCCCCTTTCTTCCTTTCCCTCCTCTCTCTCTCACTATACAACTATCAATAATTTTCTATTCCAACACGATACTATCATAACCATGAGTTTTTAATGTGTCTAAAATTTATCTTTTTATAAATTTCAACATGTCATAAGCTCCAGAGAGCCAAACTGGACCCACCGGAACAGACCAGACTGGCCCAGGGTAAGTATCATTTAACTCTTCCCTGGTCACCCAGAATAAGAATCATTTAATTCTTCTCTGGTCTCGGGACCCCTGGGAAACTCCCTCCTCCATTTCAGGAGCCCTGGGGAACCCCACTCTATCCTCCATCTTGGGGCCCTCCTCCCTCAGTCACCAGGATCAAATTTTTTTCTAAACATAATATTCTACTTTGCCAGCATCTTGTCAGGTCCAAATTGCCAGATGGACAGTTACACAAGGCCTGGAAAACACAAAAGTAACAAGCTACCCCAAGATGTAGCCAAGCACCCTAATTCTCTGGCACCCACCAGCCATCAGAAAGTAGCTCTCAAGAGATCCAACACCCTATTTCCACACATCGGCTACCCCTAGTCCCCCCACACAAATTTTTATAATAAACAAAAGGGTGAAATGTTATCATTTCCATCACCCAGCAGTTTGACAAAATGTCTAGCTGGCACTTCCAGGTTCCCTGGCCGTGCATGTGCCATCAAGAGCTCAGGCAACTTACATAGCCACCCAGGGCCCTCAAGCCCTACGTGACCTATGTGTAACGTGGTCACATGATTTATTCATGATGCATATGTAAGCCCCTGTGGGCATGTGCTAGGCAGCCTTTAACGGTCCTACATGCATGCCCAACTCTCTCTTCCTGCACCAACTTCCTCAGGCCTGTGCACGTGTCTTTCTCTCTCTCAATAAACTCTTAAAGTGGGTTTTGTGGTTTGTCTCATGATCTGTTCTCGGTCGCACCCAGTAGTTTCAGAATGTCTTGTTTAGAGGTGCCCAGCTATTATAAAAGTGTCTTTTTAGGGACATGTTTTCTTAGGACCTGTGTGAAGGCCAGGCATTCACATATCTTCCCCTTACAGAAACAGAGAGTTTCACTTTAGAGATGTCAGAGACAATCAGAAATTATACTTTATCAACTTTGTTAAATGCCACAGGGCAAAGGTCACATTTGCCACCGTTGCCTTATAAGGCAGGGACTTTCGGCACACCATGCTCTTTGTCCCCACATAGACCTGTGTGTGCAGCATCTACATGGCCTGCTTCGGATCACAGTCCTTGTGGATCTTGGCAGAGGGACAAGAAGATTTCTACCCTGTAAATATGAAAGCCCGGTGCCTCGGAGAGGCTTCTGCAAGGATGCTCCTAACAGCCTCTTCATAATATCCCAAGCGGGAAACGTCAGAGAGACCATACAAACAAAATTTGGGCTATTCAGACAATGTATATACTCGTTAGCAATAAAAAGAAGCCTCACTGTGAGTTAATTGCAAAGTCATTCTGTGGAGGGAGGGAAACTTCACAGCAAAGAGCACGCTGAGAAATCCTACTTATAAAGCACTTACAAATCAACCTAAATTAAGTTATCTTTGAACAAAAGTGGCTGCCTTGATGGGTAGTGGGCGGAAAGGACACAGAGAACCTTTGCAGGCTCCTGTTTGAGTTCTGTATCTCCATAAGAATTTTTAAAATAATTTATTTCACTTTATTTTATGTGCATTGGTGCAAAGGTGTCAGGTCCTCTGGAACTTGAGTTACAGACAGTTGTGAGCTGCTATGTGGGTATTTGGAACTGAATTTGGGTCCTTTGGAAGAGCAGCCAATGCTCTTTACCACTGAGCCATCTCTCCAGCCCCTACCTTAAGACTTCTATTGTAAAAATAATGCAATTAGCAGGATTCATCAAAGGGTGCACTTAGGATTTGGGCCTTTCACTATAAATTTTATCGTAAATAAGAACTGCAAAGGACATTGAGCCCTAGTTAATGACCATGTGATCAAATATCAAGAGGATATAAACTGAATGAATGTAGGTTTTCTCCAGAGCACTTGCCACTTCCTCCTGAGTCTTTGAATTCACTGCTTGGGGCATTCTAAGACTTTTCTAATTTGAGTAATTTGAAATTACTCCTCAAGGGCCCAGCAACTGAGTGAGGCTTTTCCCTAATATTAATATTCAGGAGGCAGAGGCCAGTAGATCTCTATGAGTTCAAGGCCAACATGATCTGTCTATACAGCAGGCTCTAGACCAGCCAGAGCTATACAGTGAAACCATGTCAAAAAAAAAAAAAAAAAAAAAAAAGGACAAATGGCAAGCACATTCTTCAGTTTCTCCTCATTGCCTAATTTCAATACTACTGAATATTTAGGGATATGGTAGGGTTATATCCAACTTTCAGCAAACTCATTCATTGCTTACCAATGGGGTACATCCTGAGAAATGTGTTGTTAGAATCTTCTCACTGTGAGACCATCAATGTACTTACAGACTAAGTCAACTGTAACCCTACACAGTAATGCCATCTTATGAGACCCCTCTCATATATGTGGTCTGTCACTGTCATGAAGACTATTACATAATTCTTCACTATTCCAAAATATGTACGACTCTTTACTTCTCTGAGAACAAATTACCAAACATTTAGTAGCTTTAAACATCATGAGTTTATTTAAGAGTTATATCTGATGTAAGTCTCAAGTTTAGGTGTCCGCAACACTTCATCTGTTCCCTTGCCTTTTCCAGGTCTTCAAGGTCACCCAAGTTCCTTGGTCCCTTCCTGCATCCTCAGACCCAACAGTCTTGCATCCTTCTGGCGACTCCTCCACAGTCATTTCCTCCCTGTGTATCTAAGAAAGGCTTCTCATTTTTTTGTTTGTTTGTTTTGTTTTTTCAGACAGGACTTCTTTGTGTAACCTTGGTTGTTCTGGAACTTGAGCTGTAGACCAGACTGGCCTCAAACTCCCAGAGATCTGCCTGCCTCTGCCTCTTGAATTCTGGGACTAAAGGCATGCACCACCACCTAAAGAAAGTTCCCAAATTCTTCAGACCCATAAAATCAGAGTGGCCACCCCTACAGTCAGACAATGCCCTGACCAATCAAGGCCTTATCTTAATCATTTGTGTAGAAGGTCTTTGTCATTAGGAATACAGGTTCTAAGGGCAAGGAGGAACTCAGGGGAGGTCACCACAGTCTACCCCATTGTCACACACAAGAAGTAAATAACTTATCAGTAACACCAAAAGCACATAAACTCATACGTTTCCTTACTTCTCTTCCCCCTGGATTTTCTTACGGTAGTGTTGTTCCCAGTCTCCACAGTATCTAGAAAACAATAAATGCCAATGAGGTAAGAAATAATGAAGAGAAATTGTAAATCTTAGGACACTGCAAAGGCCTTGCTTCCATCAGTGTTTGAACCGTCGTTCCTTTCCTCCTTCTAGAAGAACCCAAGGATGCTGAACTGAGAACTAGGAATCCAGGGAGGGCGCTGGTCATTTTTGACCCCACACCCCCAATGGGACATTTTAAATCTTTACATATTTTTTTGCACAGATAAAATACTAATTTTGTGGGAAAATTTCTAGGCAAGCCCTGATTAGTTCTTTGACACATTTGAGGAGTCTGGTTGGAAATGCACACTGGGTTGAGAAGAGTTGGCCTGAACTCTTTTCCTCCTCACCAGCAGCGGGCTCATACTAGATTGGGTCCTTCCTAAGGCCCTGACAAAGCAACTTTACTATCTAGCTGCAGACGTTTACCTGCTGTCTTGGGTGACAGGGAAGAATGGGAGCAATACAGTACACCAAGGTAGCACACAAGGTAAGTACCAGTTTTAAGAATGCATTGCTTCTACTTCATCCACATGTGATCAACCGACTCTATCTCTCAAATGTGGCTCTGCAAGGGGTTCCTGATTCTCTCCAGCTCCAAGTGGGCAAGTGCAAAGAACTGGATTCAGGGATGGACTGGACCACAAGCTGGATCCTGTGGCACTCACTGAGCCATGCCTAACCCACGACCCTGTGCAGCCTTGTCTATTAGTTACCTGTTTGCCTGCTTCTCATCCTTGCTTCCGGGTCCTCTGGCACAAATGCTGGGGAACACATGACACAGAAACACATCTCATTTTCACTTGTGGATTGCTCTGCTCCTGTGCCAAAATTGTGCATATCAGTTTGTTTGTTGTTCAATTTTGCAACACTGGGTACCAAACTCAGAGCCTCACCCATTCTAGGCAAGCAGTCTACTATTGGGCTATACCCTCACATGTTTTCTTTGGGTTCATTGTTAGACATGGTGCCAACTAATTTTCCTGGATGGCTTTAAACTCACTCTAGCCCAAGCTAGCCTTGAACTGGGGTCTCCCATTGTCATTCAGAGCATCTGACACATGGCCATTTCATATCTTAACTGAATTCTTATTCCTCCAAAAATATTTTTACATTCTCCTTTAGTCTGACTTTCAGTTCCTCTTTTTTAATTTTTTCCTCTCCTGTCTTGCCCCCTTTATCAGAACGGCATCTGTGTGATTATTTTAGAGCATAGTTGCCTTCTCTGTCATGGACCAGTAGGCTTGAAGCAAGCTCTTCTAGCCCCTTTCCTTCTTCACCCAGTGATTGAGCATTCTGGCTAGTAACCCTAACTAAATCATTGCTGTCTGTGGATCTTGAGACAGAGACAGATAAAAGCTCTCTGACTGCACAGCAAGGTAGATTCTGAATGAAGGAGGGAGCTATTTTCTGGAAAAACAAACAAACAAATAAAAAACAATGAAAACTCAAAAACAAACAAAACCTGCTACCACCCAGGATCCATTGGAGCTGTCTCTTTCCACAACACACATTATTTTCCATTTTTCCACCTTTAATTTGCTACATGTAGTTGTAAGGAGATTTTCAAAGTTCTTATCTTCTGTGATGAAAAATAAAACTGTTCTTTGAAAATAGTAAAGGATAACTTTTGCTAGTTTTACCAGTTTCAAACCCATCCCAAATTGGCCAATGACTACCTAATCACTAAAGATGCACGTGAAATCTAGCCAATCAGAAGCAATGATACATATTTGAAATCCAGCCAATCAGCAGCAGTCACCCTCCAAACGCTGGGTTGATGTCTCCATAGCAGCCTATGCTAAGCACTTCTGCTTTGTAGAGTCTAAACCCCTGAGCTACCTTCTTCTTTAAGCTTCAGGTGAAACTAGCTATGGCCTAGGAGCCATGTGCTTTGAACACAATCTTTCTTCCCACTCCTGCCAGGGCCTTCACTTAGCAAGCTTTCCATTTCAGACATGGGACTAATGATCTCACTTCTAAGTATGGTGTTCCCGCCAAGATTCTCTGAAGACTTGCTGGGAGTGCCTGCAAGTGTAAATTCTAGACCTCTTCTACACAGCTCAGGTGCAATGTTCGTAAACCACTGTCAACTGACTTGGTTTCAACAGCAACTTGTTTCGTTATGCTATTTCTGAGTTAGGTTAGGTAAAGATGCATATGCAATTTGATGTAAAGAAATTGCTCTCCAGGGAGCATCAAGATCATGATGGGGAAACCCATAAAGACAGCTGGCATGAGCTTGTGGGAGCTCAGAGACTGGACTGACAGCTGGGAAGCTGGCGTGGGATTGACTTCTGGGTGACAGTTGTATAGTTTGATCTGTTTATGGGGGTCAGGACCTGTCCCTGATGCATGAGCTGGCTCTTTAGAACCTATTCTTTATGGTGGGATGCCTCACCCAGCCTTGATGCAAGGGGGAAGTACTTGATCCTGCCTTAACATAATATGCCATGCTTTGCTGACTACCATAGGAAGCCTTACTCCTTCTGAATGGAGATGGAGGAGGAGTGGATAGGAGGGTAGGGCAGAAAGGAGGTGGGAGAGGGAACGGGAGAAGAAGAGGGAAGGGAACCTCTAGTTGGTATGTAAAATAAATAAATAAATTTAAAAAAAAGAAATTGAGGTCTTGATTTGTAGGTACAGTATTTAGCAAACATTCGGTGTTTATTCTTGCTTCATTTCATCTCATTAACTTTTAAAGTCTTTTATCTTGTGTCTGCTCCTGATTCGTTCTGAATATTGGAAGATAATGACACACATACACACACCAAATAGATGGAAACAAAGGTGGAACCCGTCCCCAAGCCAAGCCATTCTCAAAAGCTAATGAATGTGGATCCACTCATCAGGGGCCAAACTGTGCAAAGACTCTTGGTCCTACCCTATCCTGGGACATTCACAGACATGTGGGGCCTTGTCAGTCTGTGAAATAAGCCGTCTTTCTCACTGTGTATGCAATCGCAGGTCAACTACTGTCATGGAATCAGTCATATGTCCCCCTTTCAGTCTCTATTCTCTCAAGAACCCTAGTACTTCACACATGGCAACACACTCTTCACCCTTATAACCAAGCATCCTCTTTCCATTTATCACAGTGTTCTTTTTTCAGAGCCACAGCCTCCTATGACAGAGCTTTCACTTCCTTCTTGTGTTTTCACAATGACTCTGCCTCAAGCCCCTAATACACGGCAGGAGCTCACTAATAATTCCACTCCACAATGGGGGAACTCCACGTTTGTCAAGTAGCTCTATAAAACAAGAGAGGAAGTCTCCAGTGTTCCCATGTCTTCACTAGTAGTTGTCCTTCCAGACCATGCTCTGGAGAATGTTGCATTCTTTGACAAACCCCTATAACCTTGAGGTTGAGACTTTTCTGCAAAATGAACCTCCAGGTTAAGCAAACACAGACATCTTTCAGAGGTCTGGAAAGGTTCACCTGTGCATGTGTCTGTATAATCAGTCTGAGCCATCAGCCCCTACCTAGGTGTGGTGCAGGTCCTCAGCCCATCCCCAAAGTGCCTGATCATGGTAGTCTCTCTGTCTCTTCTAAGGGAGAGACATATTCATGGTCTACTTTTATTTGGTGAACCCTGTAATGTCACTTGTTTGAGAAATCAGTGGCTCCTCCAGACATTTATTTTCTATAGGGTGCCTTGGGCTCTCTGGTGGTAAGTAGAATTCTAAGATAGTTCTCTAAGAGCTTCTTCCATAATCGTGGAGACTGTGAATGTGATAAGCTCTTAATAGTGTACTTAGCTTAGGTCATGTGGCAGAGCTGGCCTTAAAAGAGAGCAGGCCTCAGGGTAGGCCTGGTCTAATCAAATAAGCCCTTTACAAGCAGTGAAGTTTTTTTTTTTCCAGCTGGTAGCAAAACAAAAAATCAGAGACTGGAAGCATGCAGAAAGTTCCAGAGCCTCCTGCTCCCTTCAGGATGGAGGGTGACTCCTGTCAGAGAAAATGAATAGCTCTGGTGAGCTGAATGATCCATGGCAACAACCAGCAGCAAAGTTGTATTCTCCGTGCTACAACTACAAGGAGCTGGATTTTATAAATAAGTAAATAAATAAATAGCTGGATAAAATAGGTTGTAGGAATTCTCTCAGAGCCTCCAGAGAAAAGCTCAGCCTGGCTGACATGGTGATTTCAGCCTGGAAAGACTGAGAAGGGAGCTAAACTGAGCATGCCCAGAAATCTGACCTGTGGTGCTGAGATAATATATGGATGTCTAGTTAAGCATGTATATGCAGCATAATTTGTTAAATAATGAATAAGACTTGCATGTCGTCTCTGTTCCAATACACACGTCACTTCCTTGTAGCTGTTACTGAGCTGACAAGAAACTAGTAAGAACGAATTCTAGTTTTGTGAAAGTCTGTTTTATCTTCTCAGTTACACTTTATCAGCCAAAGAAATTATAGTATCCAAAAATTACTCATACACAATGATTACAAGGCAAACAAGATTTCTATAATTCACTAGGCCTTTAAAAAAGTGAAACAATACTTTCTGACATGATCTTCCTATGGTAGATTTTTTTTTTTATTTTTACTTAAAAATTTCCATCTCCTCCCATCCTCCTATTTCCCTCCCCCTCTCTCTCCCTCTCCAGTCCAAAGAGCAGTCAGGGTTCCCTGCCCTGTGGGAAGTCCAAGGTCCTCCCCCCTCCATCCAGATCTAGGAAGGTGAGCATCCAAACAGACTAGGCTCCCACAAAGCCAGTACATGCAGTAGGATCAAAACCCAGTGCCATTGTCCTTGGCTTCTGAGTCAGCCCTCATTATCTGCCACGTTCAGAGAGTCCTATTTGGTCACATGCTCCATCAGTCCCAGTTCAGCTGGCCTTGGTGAGCTCTCATTAGATCAGCCCCACCATCTCAGTGGGTGGGCACACCCCTCACAGTCCTGACTTCCTTGCTCATGCCCTCCCTCCTTCTACTCCTCATTTGGACCTTGGGAGCTCAGTCCAGTGCTCCAATGTGGGTCACTGTCTCTAGCTTCATCCCTCGCCAGATGAAGGTTCTGCAATCTATAGATTCAATGCAATCCCCATCAAAATCCCAACAAAATTCTTCACAGACCTTGAGAGTACAATAATCAGCTTTATATGGAAAAACAAAAAACCCAGGATTGCCAAAACAATCCTATACAATAAAAGTACTTCCGGAGGCATTACCATACGTGATATCAAACTCTGTTACAGAGCTACAGTAATGAAAACAGCTTGGTATTGGCAAAAAAACAGAGATGTTGACCAATGGAATCAAATAGAAGACCCGGATTTTAACCCACAAACCTATGAACACCTGATTTTCGACAAAGGAGCTAAAAGTATACAATGGAAGAAAGAAAGCATCTTCAACAAATGGTGCTGGCATAACTGGATGTCAACCTGTAGAAGAATGAAAATAGATCCATATCTATCACCATGCACAAAACTCAAGTCCAAATGGATTAAAGACCTCAATATAAATCTGAACACACTGAACCTGATAGAAGAGAAAGTGGGAAGTACTCTACAACACATGGGCACAGGAGACCACTTCCTATGTATAACCCCAGTAGCACGGACAATAAGGACAACATTGAATAAATGGGACCTCATAAAACTGAGAAGCTTTTGTAAAGCAAAGGACACTGTCATTAAGACAAAAAGGCAACCTACTGACTGGAAGAAGATCTTTACCAACCCCGCAACAGACAAAGGTCTGATTTCCAAAATATATAAAGAACTCAAGAAACTACACCTTAAAATGCTAATTAGCCCAATTAAAAAATGGGGCACTGAACTGAACAGAGAATTTTCAACAGAAGAAGTTCA